TTCAACTCCCAGAATTCCTCAGCCAGCAAAGCTGGCTGAGGAATTCTGGGAGTTGAAGTCCACAAGTCTTAAAGTTGCCAAGGTTGGACACCCCTGGTCTAGAAGCACCTGCTCTTGAACTCATTGCAGCTGCTTCTGAAGTCCACGCATGTTCCAGCATAGCTTAACAATCTTAGGGGAAAATAGCCATAGCATTTAGATTTATATCCCACTTCACACTGCTTTATAGCCCTCTCTGAGCGGTTTACAGAGTCAGCATATTGCCCCCCAACAATCTGGAGAAGAAAATAAAGTCTTCTCCAGATTGAGAAAGAAAGAAAAAAAGTCTTGCTTTTAGAGCAGGCTACGTTAGACTATCCCATTATGGATAATTTAGCCTTGAAATTGTACCTTTGTGAAAGAACTGCAGCATCCCACTATGTTTCTTGCAAACTAAGGTCATTTATAGCTTGGATATTGCATCGAACATTTGATTTCTTACTCATAAACGTGTAAAATGAAAAAGTTGTAGAATGAAAAAGTTGATATACTGATATTTGCCTAAATGTCTGGGGCAGGCCCTGTGGATGTAACAATATCCTGTCACTATAAAAACTCTCAGGATTGTTACTTTGCCCCAAAATGCAGATACTGGTTATGAGTGCTGAAATACACATAAACTACTTGTTCTCTGATTGTGTCTGCAGAGATGTTAAAGCTAGATTGCAACCCTCATTTTGGTGCCTTTAAAATTATGGAGGCTACAAGCAGAAAACGCTGCCATTGCTTTGCGTGGCTTTCATTATCTTGGGTACAAGTCTGATGTGGTTGCTTTCATGTTTGCTTTGCTAGCCCTTTCATGGGAAATATTAAAATATCATCCCAGGTATGCTTAAACAGCATGATCAAGAAGTAACCATGTCTTCTGTTGGCCGTGGTCTTACTTCAGGTCTTCGCCAGGATTGTGCCTCCAGCTCGGCCTCCGTTTCCCGCCGCAGCTCCAGTGCCTCCTTACATTCCTTGCGCAGAGGCACCTACAGTGACCAGGATTTTGACACATACAGTTTGGAAGATGAGGACGATGACTGCTCTTTCTCCTATCACAGCAGTCACAGATACTCGCCATCCCCACTCAGCTCACCGCGATGCCAGTCTCCGTCCACAAACGCAGATTACGGAAGGGCCACTAATACCCGAATCCGGCCCCCACGGAGGACAGTGCAAAGCCCCATGCAAGATAGACTAAAGTATTCTTCGAACGAAGGTGCGTGCTCCCGTTTACAAATCTCGTTCAGTTTTTGAACCAGCAGGTTAGAGTTAGGGTATTATTTTCTTTTGGGCCCCAAAATAAGCACTAGGGCTTATTTTGGGGGGGTGTCTTATTTTTTTCCATGTACAGGAGGCTCATTTCCTCTCTTTGCTCACAGTGGGGCAGGAGGCTGCACAGTGCTAGTGCTGCCACCACAGGGTAGAGGGTGTGGAGCTGCCCTACGTGCCTTGCACTGGCTTACCTCAAGGCCCCCATAACCAGGCCATACCTGCTTCTCCTTGAGGCAGCGGTGACTCCAGCAGTGCAATCCAGTAGGACCATGTGTGGCCTCCAGCTCACTTCTGCTTGCTCACAGCCACAATGGAGCAGGAGCTGAATGACACGCTGGTGCCGCAGTGGCAAGGCATGGGAATGGAGCTGCCCCATGCGCCCTGGACCGGCTTACCTCGGAGATAAGCCAGTGTGGGATACATGGAGAAGCTCCACACACCCACAGCCCCCCTGTGGTACAGTGAGCAACCAGACAGAATGGGTGGGCAGCTGGCTGTGCAGGCTCTTTGGGGCTTATTTGTGGGGCGGTAGGGCTTATATTAGGTGCGCACAGAAAACATGCTAGGGCTTATTTATGGGATAGGTCTTATTTTTGAGGAAATGTTAGCAGCAGTTGGATTTTTTTCAATTCTTGTTATGTTATCCTTTGCAGAGGAACTGCGTCACAGTATGCCTAACCTGGCTCGGACTGGTCTGCGATCTTTGGAGTCAGTAAGAAATAGCCGTAGCCTAGACTCGGATTTACAGATTCCCAGCAGTCGACTCTCTAGGATCCATCAGGAATCTGTCAGTAAGTTGGCTGCTGCTTCTCAGACTTCCAGGATATTTCAGTTGGTGTGATGACCAAAGTAGGAAAGATAGCTACAGTTTGTTTTAGAGATCTTAAGTTTGCCACAGCTTTTAATGGGGCTGTGCGTTCCCTGAATGGTTTTAAGTTTGGGAGTTCTTTGGGATTTGTTTTTAGTTCTTTCAGTGTTGACCAAAAGTGCACTTCACAACTTCTTCTGGGAAATCAGCTGGGCCTTCTCTGAAGAAAGTGTGCCAGGCCACAGTCATTCTGTGTGTTTTTCTAATGTGTTCGGCCTAGAAGATTGCTCATAAATTTCAGCTGTCCAGAATACGACGGTTTCGTTTGCCGTCGTATGAGTAACATCACTACACGTTTTGCCAAATGAACTGGCTACTAATTTAATTTGCGGTGCCCATCTAGCAGTTTGAAAGCAGGCAAATATGCAAGTAGATGAATAGGTACCACGTCTGTGGGAAGGCAATAGCACTCTGTGCCCCTCAGCCTATAGTCTTGATGACCACATGACCACAGAAATGTCTTCGGACAACACTGGCTCCCTCGGCCAGTGGGAGAAAGAAACGGCCCTAGCTGGACACGACTGGGCAGGTGAACCCTGTGCCTTTTATCGGTGGATTCAGTTGACAGTTTGACTTCTCTAGCCCTCTTATGGCCTGGATCTGCTTCAGCTGTGTGAATCTGCCTGAAAACTCTTCTCTCCTCCTGATCCCTTTTGGATATACTCCCCAAGTAGACCCTTCATTTTATACTTATTAATACCGTCTCCGTTTCCCCTCCCTTCTGCTTTCAGGTCTGACTCCAAATAAACTCCGCTATTCCTCCGGGGCCGGGCAGTCCCCGCTGACCGTTCGTCAGCCTGTGAAAGCAGGGCCCTGTGCCAACGCTCTCCTAACCGCACGGCAGCCCGTCAGAGCTGCTGCTGGGTACGCGAGTCCGGCTGGCCGAGTCCGAAAGCTACAGTCTTCCACGCTGAACCCAAGCGCTTCGAGTAGTGGCGCTTCAGTGTACCGAAGCAACAGTGTGGCCGCGGGAGCGAAAAGCTCTCTTCCTAAAAATAAAGCGTCGGTGGCAGGAGCATCCACTCTAAAGAGCAAGATGAGCCAGCCAGCCAAGAGGTGAGACTTTTAAAAGCTCATACAGAGGAGGTATAGGTAGTCCTTGATTTGCAATGGTTCCTTTAGCGACGGTTTAAAGTTACAACGGCACTGAAAAAAGTGGACGTATGACCGTTTTTCACACTTACGACCATTGCTCCATGGTCATGTGACTAAAATTCAAGCACTTGGCAACTGTTTCATATTTATGACGGTCACGGTGTCCCAGGGTTATGTGATCTGCTTTTACAACTTTGACGAGCAAACTCAATGGGAAAGCCAGATTCACTTAATAACGTTAATAACTTATCAATTGTAAAGTGGCCAGAAAAGCCATCAAATGGGGGCAAAGCTCACTTTAAGAAATGTCTCGCTTAGCAACAGAAATGCTCAATTTGTGGTCGTTAAATCGAGGACTACCTGTATTTGGATTGCGGTCTTAAATGCCTGACCTTCCCAACAGCATTGATCTCAAGTGCCTTTTCCGGCTCTCCAGATTGCTAAGAAACGAGCCAACTGAGCAAGTCAGAGAAAGATGCCAGCTCAAAGCTGGAAAGATTCCCCTTAATTCTAAAGAATCCCCCTTCCTCTTTCCCAGTTTCAGACTGGATCTAGGGAGGAGAGCACAGGACTGCCCTGCGATGCAGTTGAGAGTAATGATCAACTTCACTTGCATGTATAAAACTTTATTTAGGATTGTTCCTTTAAGAATCCTACCTAGTTTTATTCTGCAGCGATCTAACAGACTGCCACCCAAAACAAATAGGGAAGATACTTGCTTTTTAAATAAATATTTAAGACTAGTAACAGATGATGCGTTAAGTCCCCTGTCTTCTGACATTGTGTAAGTAAAATTTCTTTCTGTACATCTCAACAGATATCCAAAGGCCAACATACCTGTGGACGACTCTTGGAAAGATGGATGTTATTGAACCAAGCCAAAAAGGAGAATAATGAACAATGACTTGTTTGTTGGGTGATGTAACTGGACAACAGCCCAGCTGGCTGGGCAGGAGGACATGCTTAAGGCCTCCCATTTCCTCCCCATTGCCACCATGCTTGACAAACTGGAATGATGATGAACTTGGACAGCTGCTTTGCGTTGTCTTGACAATGGACCTTGATGGCTTTTTGTTTTGTTTTGTTCCTGCTATTCTAGTCTTACTGCTGAGCCTTGATTACGGAAGTTCTTGTGCCTGAAGGTACAGGCGTGGCCCGAGGCACGCATTGGAAGATTCATTCATGGTACACAACAAGGGAAGAGAAACGCTCCTGTGGCAATGAGACATTTTTGAGTCTGTGGAGTTGGGTTTTTTTTTCCTTTGCAAAAAAAGGCAGCTAGATTTAAGATGAACATAATTAGAAAGGACTGTTTCTTATGTCACTTGGTGTAACTTAACTTTTCTAGGAAATTCAGAGGTTTTTTTTTTTACTTGTCCCGAACAGGTATCACTACTTTTATTATTATTATAAAAGTTGAAAGGTTTTTTTAAAAAAATAATAGCTAGTGCATCATCTGTCACAGGAGAATGTCTTAAAGCTTGGTATCCCCGTTGTTTCCAAGACTGTTTAATGTGCTGTTGCCTGCAGGCTGATAACGTGAGGTCTTATTTATGCGTTTGCTCTCTTATCTTTTAGCTAGGCAAGTTTTTAGTGTGGGTAGTAGCAACAACTTTGCCGGCTAAAAAAAATGCACTTGAAGTGTTTCGTTCCCTCATGATCGTCACTTAATTCCTTGATACTAAAATCTACCTTCCTGCTTTTGTACAAGACTTTTCTACATTTTTGGGGTGGGGGTGGGTGGGTTTGTTTTTGGATGAAGGAACTTGGTTTTTTTAAACTTAAATCTGCGGCTCCTGGAGTTTTGCCAAATGCAAGAATACAATCATACCTGGGAATTCAAACTGGTCTTTCAGCCAACCCTACTTCTTGCCACCAATGTGACTTGATATTGTAGTTAATAAATGTGAAGGGGGCGAATGCTACCTTGTTTTTAGTAGCAAAATTTGCGTCCTGCTGCTTTTTTTCCACATAGATATACGGGTAGTCCTCGACTTGTGACTGTTGAAAAAAGTGACTTATGACCATTATTCACATTTACGACCACTGCAGCATCCCTATGGTCACATGATCAAAATTCACACACTTGGCAGCTGATTCACATTTATGACGGTTGTAGTGTCCTGGGGACATGTAATCACCTTTTGTGACCTTCTGATAAGCAAAAGCCAACGAGGAAGCCAGATTAACTTAACTGCAGTGGTTCACTTAACAAATGTGAATCGTTTTGTTTGCATAGCAAATCACTTTGTGCAACAAACGAAGACGTAAAAACTTGCTTCACAAATGTCTCACTTAGCAACAGAAATGTTGGGCTCAGTTACTGTCATAAGTCAAGGACTACCTGTAGTAGACACTATCCTGAAACAAGAAAATTGATGTCTTCTTCTCAAAAAAGATGTGAAAATGTTGGAAGAAAAAATAATACACTAACACTTAGAAATTCATTAGTAATGCTTTATATAGTTAAAGCCGAGGTGGTGACCCATAAAAACAAACAATGAGAATCCATGAAGTAATTTTAAGCTTTCCTGTTAAGTCATTTGCCAAATGAATACTTGCTACAGTTGGACAGTTTGTAATTGTTTCCTGGCCATTGGGCTGTGTGGTTTCCTTTTGATCCAGAAATGTTAATAACACTTAATTCTAGCCACACGGACTTAATCAGTAGTTTCAACTACTTGCTTGAAATACTTCGTGAATGAGCTCACTGGTCATCTCCTGCAATAGTAGGATGGAGACTTTAAACAAGAATGGTTATATAATGTGCTCTACTTGCCTTTTATCCTGCCATACTTCCTGAAGTAACAGCTGAAACTTAAAGAGATGGATCAGCTGGTACTCAGAGCATTTTCAAAGGGTCATCAGACAGTAGAAGTAAGTAATACAATGTGTAATCAGATGCTGAACAGGCACACCATAAAATGTTTTTGCCCAGTCAGAATGCACCCTGAAAAAAATGGCTATTATAAGTATTACTGGATGTTTACTTGTAAATATAAAGGCTGGATGGTGTTGGATTTCAGATTTTCAAACCATTCTGTAAACACTTAGCACAATTTTGTTTAACCAAAAACAAGGTTATGTGCAAAATATCACTTTGGACCACTGGTGGTAACCTATCTACCCAGTTTGCTGGCTGTGGCCCAGTTTCCCACTGCTGCCTTCTGGCATTTCCCACAATCTCAGCCAAGATCAGAAAGCTTCTTCATGAAGCTCAGCAACGTGGAAGTTCTTAGATAAAAGAGTTCGGTGTAAACTCTGAAATAAGCCCACTGGATTTCTTTTTCCCCACTTCTGGATCCGTTTCTCCAGGACTTTAAAAACAGCTTGGCTGTCAAGAAGGTATTTGACGAGAAAAACTGAATATCAATTGCCTGCAGTTAAGTACATTTATTTAAACAGGTTTAAATTTATTTTACAATAATGCATCAGTGCATTTTATTAAAAGAGGAGGAAGCAGATTTACATAAAGGCATTCAAAATGATAAGAAAATTAACCACTGCTATTGACGTTTTTTTTTCTTTTCTAAACATGCACAATTAATTCAATGTTGGCTTGTCCCTGCAAAGACAATCGATGGGGAGGACCATGACTGTAGGAAACAAGGATAGGTGGACCAGTTTTACTGTCTGCAGTATGCTGAGGAAAGCAAGCAGAGACTGCTTAGTAAACTAGGATAAGATTATAAAATGCCAACACTGGGGGGGAAGATTAATAATCTTCCTATTTACGATTCGTCCTCCTTTACATTATGCGTGACGTAATTTACGGCAGTTTCAGATTAAAAATTGGTTTTCAAATACTTCATATTTCTCTACATAACTCTTCCTTGAAAAATCAGTAGCTTGGGGGGGAATCCCACTCAGATAACACCCGCCTCTTGTGTTTTTTGAGCTAGGCACGATAGCTCCACCATGCTCAAAAGAGGAGAAGAGGGCAGTCACCAAGCCTTGCACAAAGTGTGCTCCTTCGGAGGCGCTAAAACACCTTTTCGACCCACCTCAAGAGACGAAGCCAGAGCGAACGGCCATTTACAGTTCGAAAGGACATTCCAAACCAGGCGAGCAGACACACACCCAAGACACACAAATTACGGATAGCAGCAATGTTACAGCAACGTTAATACTCTACGTTTACCAGTCACTCAAGTTGAAAAGCAGAACCTCTTCACCTGCCCGGCAGAAGGGCCGCGAAGGAAGCTTCGAAGGGCAAAGCCTGTCATGAGTTTTGAGAAAGGCACTGCAGGGAAAAAGCCACTGAGCTGATCGCATCTTTGGGCTGGGTCTGTGAGCAAAGACCTCGGTTGACTTCAGCGGTCCCCACTTACCTCTCCCCACTAAGGTCTACGGGGCCTTCGGCTCCCCCCTCCCCCCAACCTGCTCCACCAAGTAAAGTGCAAAGCATGAGAACGCAAATGCTTAGAACCTCCCGTTGGTCCGTTGCCCTCCTCTCTCCCCTCAGGAAGTCCTGCTTGCTGTTTCGGAGAAAAAACATCCTCTGGGTTTTTGAAAGGAGTATCTACCTTACAAGGCGATAAGGCAAAAAAAAAAAAAAAAACGACCCTCGAGTGTCCTGGAAGGATGAAGAGTGTGAAAGTCCACATTGGACGACATACTTTCCTGTGCACGCGTGTGCTTTCAATGGGGGGTAGATTGGCTCAGGCGGCTATTTCTACACGCAGCTTGGCCAGGAGAGGCCCCCACAGGCAGCCGACACAATGATGTAAATGATGACCTGTGGGGGAGAAAGCATTTATTTTATTTATTTTTGTCAACTGCTTACAAGATAATAGGTATAAGTAAAAAAAAAAAACAGTTATGAATACATGGATACGTATAAGAAAAATAAAAGAAACAATAGGACAGGGATGATAGGCATGTTGGTGCGCTTATGCATGCCCCCTACAGACCTCTTAGGAAAGGGGTGAGGTCAATAGTAGACAGTCTAAGGTTAAAGTTTTTGGGGTTTGGGGAAGAAACCACAGAGTCAGGTAGAATATTCCAGACATTGACCACTCTGTTGCTGAAGTCGTATTTCCTGCAATCAAGTTTGGTGCGGTTAACCATGAGTTTGTATCTATTGTGTGCCCTTGTGTTGTTATGGTTGAAGCTGAAGTATTCATTGACAGATAGGACATTGCAATGTATGATTTTATATATTTTTTCTTAGATCAAACCGAAGACGGCGTAGTTCTAGGTTTTCTAGGTCTAGAATTTCAAGTCTGGTGGCATAAGGTATTCTGCAATGAGTAGAGGAGTGGAGAACTCTTCTTGTGAAATATTTCCGGACTTTCTCAGCTGTGTTTATATCAGATACGTAATGTGGGTTCCAGACTGATGAGCTGTATTCGAGTATTGGTCTAGCAAATGTTTTGTATGCTCTTGCTTCCGTCCTCCACATTGCAGGAAGACAATCTGCAGGTTGGTCCCACTGCAGTGGAAAAGCCGCCTCACTATTTTTGTCCTCCCATAAGGAAATAAGATCTCTTGCGGCCCATTAATTCATTTGTAGACCGAGCACAAGGATAAGAGGACATAAATGTCCTTTTATAGCCGGCAGAGTTCCTTCCCCTTCGTATCGGGGGAAAGAAAGAAAGGGGAAAAAAAAAAAGACTTACTATGGATACGATGGCAACTATGATGGTGAGCTTGAGGTTCTTCATGCACATTGCTCGGGCCAAGTTCCTACTGGTTGTTTTGAAAGTGACGGACTGGGGAGGGAAAAAGCACGGGAGAGGGTTTTAACGCAGACCGCACCCGACCAACATTTCATCAGCCTGTTCATTCCCCACCAAAGGGATGCTACGTAACGGTCGTTTCAATTCATATTTCCAACATATCATCTGGAATGCCTTTTCATATATTTTTTTTTTTAAAGCCTCCTCTCCCAATACTATGTTTGACCTTCGCTTCAAGATCACAGCAGAAGTAACCACACTGCCCTCTGCTGGAGGTTCTTGACCAGGCTTTGCTGACATTCAGAACACAGGTAGTCCTCACTTTAACAACTCCAATTGGGACAACTCACCAACTTGCATGGTCGTTAAACAAACCATCATGTGACTGTCCTGACAATCCTACGCAGTTCCTAGGAACCAACCTGGATCCCGAGCCATTTTCAAAAGGAGGCAAAGGACTGCTCCCACTTCAACTCCTCTGGCCCATCTCCTTTGGGCCACCCCACCTGCCACCAGACCGGGTGCCCTGGGGCACGAGGGGGCAGTTATAAATGCAGACAGACCCGGATTTTGTTCATGGGACTGCAGGGAACTGCAAGAGTTAGGACTTCAAGGACTGATTGTAAGTTCATCCAGCAATCGTAAGTTCAAACAGTTGCTGAATGAATGGAGGTTAAGCGAGGAATACCTGTGATTTGTTTTTAGGCAATATTATTCCCAAGAACTTTGCCTGTGTTAAGACTGGTTGATTTCTCTCTGCAAGGTCAAAAGATTGCCAACTACCACGTGTTAATTTTGCTCTGCAAAGGGAAATATTTGGCTGGGGAAATAGAACTCTAGTGAAGAAACGTCTGGTTTTACTGTCTCAAATACCAACATCAGAAGACACTTTCCAAAAACATGTGGGCTCTACCCTCTAAAATCCAGCTAATTCAAGAGGACTTGCCTTGTATTCATTTCCTTCCCCCATCAAGCCTGCAGGCCTCCCCTTAAGACAGAGCCCATCCTAAAGAATTCACCCCATCATCTTCAGGACTTACCGAATCCACAAGATTTTCCGTTTTGTCTATCAGCAGTTCCAGCTTTTCTCCTCTTTGAGCTACGAGATCTTGGATGTGAAAGGAAGAGCAATTATAAGAATTCCAATGAAGAAGCAACTCTCCCACAATGTTTCCCTAAACCACAGAAACTGAGTAACAGCATTGCACTGTCCTCTCTTTCTAGGCCAGGTATTGGATTTCATTATATTTGGAGTAAGTTCCTTAATTAAGAGTCTGAGGCACCCCTTAGAATCTAACAGAGCAGTGATCCCCAACCTTTTTGACGCCGCGGCCCGGTACTGGCATCAGCTGGGCGCCGCCATCTTTTTTTGATGAAAAAGTGCTTCCGGTGAGCTTTCTACCCGGAAAAGCTCACCGGAAGCACTTTTTTACCAAAAAAAGATGGCGGCACCCAGCAACCAGCGGCCCGGTAAGACTTGTTCCGCGGACCGGTACCGGTCCGCGGACCGGCGGTTGGGGACCCCTGTAATAGAGGATGCAGCAGATTGGGACGCTAAGATACTCCTGCAGTTCAAGCAGGAACAGAAGAAAAGTAATGCAAATCACTTCTTTTGTTCCACCCAATCTTTTGTATCTAAATAAATTGAAATGCAGTCCACCTGCTTTCTGTCCCTTTTCCACTCATGCCTTTCCCCACAAAGCATCAGCAATAGCAGCTGTCCTTAGACTTAAATACTGCTTCACAGTGCTTTTACAGCCCTCTCTAAGCAGTTTACAGAGTCAGCCCATTGTCCCCAACAATCTGGGTCTTCATTTTTACTGACCCGGAAAGGATGGAAAGCCGAGTCAACCATGAGCCTGGTGAGATCTGAACTGCCATATTGCAGACAGTCAGCAGAAGTAGCCTGCAGTATTGCACTCTAACCACTGTGTCACTGTAGCTTGTACACTTACTTGCCAAATACTTTTACAGGGGTGTATAGGGGCTCAACCACACCTTTGTCACCCGTACCTATATTACGGACCATGATCCCTTTGAGTTCGTCCACCTGAGCCTGGGTCTCTACGATCTGGTCAGGGCCTTTGTTCTCAGAGTGATATTTCTAAATGGAAGAAGAACAAGGAAATCTAAATGCTTCAGAAAAGATGTGAATAAGCAGCAGAGGGGGAGGTATTTGTAAACAAAGTCTAGCTAAATAAACAAAAAAAACCCTAACATATAATAATGCAATCTTGTGATGCATCGATACAAGCATCCAGAAAATAAAATTCTGCTTTTTTGGGGGGGGTTGCCTTAAGTGATATTTTCACACTTTTGGGAGCCATATTTCAAGGAAGCCAAATTAAAGAACATGCAGAGACTTGAACCGCCATAGTGGCGAGAGGAGCTAAGTTTAAGCAGCTTGGAAAGAGCATTTAAGGAAGGCAGGCTAGAAATCCTCAACGGCTACAAAGATAAGCTTGCAGAACAGGGGTGTCAAATTCGATCCCATCGCGGGCCGTATCGAGATTTTGTCTGCCCTTGGGGGACTGGGGTGGGCGGGGCCCGGTCATAGCGGCCGACTGGGTGGGCGGGGCTGTGGTAGGCCAGGGCAGCACAGACCAATCCCTCCGTCTTCAGGACAGCCCCGCGGGACAACTCTGGGCCTATCACGGACTGTATCTGGACTGCGGGCCGCATGTTTGACGCCCCTGTTGTAGAATATTGAGCAGAGTTGGAGAGAACTGAATTATGGCTAAACATTAAATTTCCTAAATGGCAATGCTCGTTCAGTAGCCATATCTCAGCAAGTGGGGAGATCATCTTCACTTACAAGTGTTTAAGTGAACTAAACCAATAAAAAATTCCTTTCGTTTATGGTTTCTGACACAATCAGCCTTGCCCTTTTCAAGGAAAGCTACAAGGGTCCTATTTAAAATGAGCATACCCATTTTCCTATGAGCAGTTTTTAAAAAGAGGCAGCAATAGTAATGCAACCTCAAAAACGATCCTCCTGGGCTTAAAAGTGGCCACCCGGTTTTAACTCAACCCAGCCTCTCCTCAGAAGATTAGACGGTCAACGTTCAGCTCCAGAAGAGGCAGGTGTGTCTCATCCTGCTTCCTAAAGGAAGGATCTTTGGAATGACGGCACAGGATCTCACCAGCTGCGCTGCCAAAACACTGGAAAACTCGCTGTTCATGGCGTAGGGCAGGGCAGTCTGTGCTCGAGATCCATAGGTGGTCTGAAACCTCTTCTTGATTTCGTTCAGAAATGTGAAAGCCCGAGAACGCTCGAAGTTCTGAGGAGAGAGAACAAAACAGACAAGTGTTAATGGAACACGAACAGCTTGGGATGCTGTTTCCCCACAGGAGGACAAAGTAGGTAGTGAATGACTAGAGAGGAAATAAATAGATCCAAGTTCTGTATCTAAGCAGGAAGTAGCAGAGACACATAATGAAGTCATTACTGCACCAGACTGCGGTCGCACTTGCTAGCTGCCAGTCTGCCACTAACTATGAGGGGAGGGCATGGGATGGGAGGGGGCAAGACCACCGATTCATTCTACCTTCTAGAGACACAATGTCAGCCAGAACTCTAGCATGGGAATCTACTTCAATGCATGCTTGCTATCTGCTGCCAAAGGGCAGGGGGAGTTGATGAGGTTAGTCCCATGTGGGGGAGGGTTGCTCTTAAGAATTACTGCGGCTGCTGAATTGTTTACATCCTGTCAAGGTCAACCATCCTGGGACTAGCTGAGCAAAATACTTGAAGATCAGCTTCACACACAATTATCATACCAGACGTTGATTGGACACTCAGCAAGGGGACTCTGGGAGGGAGGAAGGGTTTGGGGAAACTTTCACCCTGCAACTCCTGTGTGTCAGATCCATATATCTGCCATTCTTCAATGGAAGAAGAAGGGGGCGGGGGAAGTTGGTACAAGTAATCCTTTTTGATGTAACCTGAATATATTAAATTCTATATTGATTCTGTATAACTTGCATATGATATACAACTGGAGGAGTGGAGCCAAATGTCTAGAAACTTGTCACCTCTTGAAGAGATAACAAGATGAGAAGGGACCATAAAAATGCCAGCTCTAGAAGACACTCCTGGGAACTCTGCTAAGATACGTACCCAGAGAAGGGGAAGGGGGAATTAACATGTTGGTTCTTTGTTTGACTAAATCCACACCTGAATAAGGGGAGGGATTCTAACTTCCTCTATCTATGCCTGGAAATATCTTAGACTCTGCTTTGACTAGTGTTGCGATTAAACCCCTTTCAATAAAGGATTCCTTTTGAAACACCTAGTTTAGAGAAGTTCATTCTTTTCGGTTGAAGGGGAAAAGTCCAATGCTTACAGTGTTTTGAATCAGATCTTGCCTTGCTTTCGCTGCTATCATTTCAAACTCAGTCAAAGTACCCCTTCTCTGCCTCAATGGAGTGAGGCGGGGGTTATTTCTTGGGTTTTGAACGGAGGCAGGCCTGACACACAATTTCAAGGTCACCTGGGATACAAAAGCAAATGCACAACCATATCCCAAGGGTAGTTGCCCATTTCCAACAACCCACCTTCAGAGAGTGCAAATTTCACCAAGGGCCCCATCGCAGCTTTTTCCCGTGTACTTACGTCATCTGTGATGCAAAGGTATATGATCCGGTCCTGACAGATATAGTGGAACAGGTAACTGCGTGGAAAATAAGACACCAAATACGTTTTCTGAGTAGTGGTGTACACATTCCAAGTTTATTTGCACATCAGCTGAAATGGGCATACAAACCCTTCTCTTTCCTGCTCTTTTTCCCAGCCCAGCAGCCCAATGGCTCTTTTCATTTCATCCCATTATTTATTTATCTAGGGAATCTATACTGCCGCCTATTCGCACGTGACGACTCAAGGCGTCTTACAGAATATAAAACCTCATATAAAAACAATAAAACTAATAGGTCATATAATAAATTAGTATAATAAAATGAGCATCCCACCCCACCTCCCCGCCCTGGCAACAACATGTCTTGCGAGCCATTTGATGGGCTCCATCCTACTCTGGGTTCCTCATGCCCGCTGGCAGGACCAGGTCTTCAGCGCCTTCCGGAAGAGTATTAGAGTGGGGGCCGTTCTAAACTCTGGAGGAAATGAGGTTCCAGAGAGAGGGAGCCACCACGGAGAAGGCCCTTCTTCTGGGTCCCGCCAGGTGTATCTCCCTCAGGGGTGGGACCCACAGCCTTCCCTGCCATTGGTTTCCATCTCCCCAGAAAATACTCACTTTCCGTGCGAGTAGGTGAGCTTGTTGTTTTCTGAAGGTATCTTGGCCAGGATCTGCTCTGTAACCTCCAGGAAATTCCCTCCACACCATGCATGCTTGGCCAGGATGGTGGAGCCCCTGGCTACAACCGCAAACAGGATCGCCATAGCTGCCGGGGTAAGAGACACAGAATGAAGGTTGTTTACACCATCAAAATTAGGATGCTTGCCAAATTTATGATCGACAAGCCAAGTCAGTGGGGAAGCCAGATTCACTTAATAAAGGCAGAGATTCGCTTAACTGCAAGGCAGGAAATGGGGCAAAACTCACTTAACAACCGTTTTGCTTAGCAACAAGAAAAGTTGGGCTCAGTTGCGGACGCAAACTGAGGACTACCTGCACACCTACCCAAATTAACAGGCCTTGCAGGATACTTTGCATTGCTGGAATAAGTAGAAGGGGGGAGGAGAGGAAGCAGATAATTAAACTGGCAGCTGCTTCCATTGAAGCGCGGGGATCAAAGTATAAAGGGCAATGTCCTAACAGGTGCATTCCACTCTGTCCGTTTTGGTTAGGTGCCCTGGCAGCGGTAGCAACAGCGGCTCTGAACATCCACGCTCCATGCAAGAGGTCAGATCATTCCTTCAAGTAAACTTAGAGCAGTTGTCAGATTGCTTTAAAGGGCAATTTTAGCCATAGGCCATTACATGAGATTTACACAGGGCAAGATGCAACATTATCTGGTCAATATTCACTGAGTATTAATACAGAGTATTTGTTCATGTTAACGGGAGGAATTCCCTTTAAAACTGACTGCCACGTTCCACAAGGGTTGGCTCTTCCATTTAATGGCTGTGATGACTAAAGTAGCTACACAAACATCGTCATAACTGGTAGCCAGAGTTACCTTTGTCCTTACAGGGCCAGCAGAATGTTAGGGCCTTGGGCCTGTTTACCTGGACAGGTGAATATAAGAGATAATCAACAAAGCCCTTATGGAACAACCACCGGTCCACACAAACAAGCAAAGCCCCATCCATGGGATTCAGGCAGCACACGAAACCATGGCCTCTCCTGTCTGTGGAAAAACCTCTCTCCGTGGAACCGGTCCCTGGTACCCAAAAGATTGGGGGCCGCTGCCCTAAGGCAGATGCTCAGTCTGGGAATAACAATACGTACAGAACCCCTAGTCGGGACTTGGTGGTATCTCCCATCGCTGTTTAAAATCTTAAGGGCTCTAAGCGTGAAGTTACTACTACCCAGGAAAATGGGCTCTGCTTGCAGCCTATCAGGCCATGAAATGAATGCAAGGTTTCTAAGGGCTTATCAAATCTAAAATCACGCAAGAAAAGAAACACGTAATCTCCCAATCCCACAGGGTAATTCAATGTGAGGTATGTATCCAGGCACGGGAGGGAAATATGACTGCAGTAAATCACAGAATGTAGATTTCCCAGATCTTTGAAACTTTGGTTAACCAGAGATTTACCCTCACTCAAATGTACTTAATTAACATGCTATAATTAATTTGAACTCACGGGTGGCCAAATCTTAGTCTGCTACAGAATAGGGCATTACAACAGAAGAAATACAGGGCTGTGGGTGTGGGGAGGAGCAGTGAAAGAGTTAAAATGCACACTATTCTTCACTTGGGTTTAGCTTTTGCTGCTACTATCGTCAACTTCCATTCCACTTTGCAGTTCCTTCCTAAAAGATAACAGCATTGCAACATGCTCAGGAACCACAAGATCAATTCCTACACATGTCCAAGTGCTTCACTTTTTCAGGCTTCCCAGTGTGGTAGATCAGAATCTGTTTGCGCAACAATATCTCATTTATTTGAAATTGTTGCCCTCGCTCTGTAAATGTTTAGCAAAGCAGTGTTTCATTTATGTTCTACTTTTTGGGGGCTATAAATTTCTGGAAGGAAGTTAGAAGGCCATCGGTCCTGTTGCTCAAGGTGACTAAGCAAACAATGTTTGTCCTTACTTACTTTGACCAAACTTTTTTATGCCTTCCCTACATTGCTAGTTTTATTGACTTTCATTTTATACTCAACCCGAGGGCCAAACTTCTTTCCAGATTTTGTTCTTATCTAAATAGGCACTATTCACTCTGTGGAACAAAAGAAGGAATGTTGTTGTTCCTTTAATGTTGCAAACGTTTCCAAACAAATCCTAGCTGACTCTTCCAAAGGAAATATTTTTTTTCCTTGAGATCTTTCTGTCCCCCAAAATACAGTGAGGAAGATGACCTCACCACTATTTTATCAATCCATATCCCTCTCTCTTACCTCGGCTAAAAAAAAACTGCAAGAAATTGCAAATTCTGCTCTTCTTTCCACAAAGGTGTGCTTTTGATCCCTCAAAAAACAACAACAACAACAACAACCAAACACCTTTTCAATAAAGCTTGCAGTATCATCACTTAAAATCACACCCTTACTGAATAGATCTAGGTAGCCTGAAAAAAATGACCTTCCTTTTCTCCCCCAGGTCAGATTTGACTATAAGACCTTCTGCAACAGAGACCAGCTTTCTTGCCTTTTGCAAAATGCTACAACAGATCTCCTCCCAAAAGACACATCTGTAAGTCATTGTAAACATTGTGAGTTGTAGTTACTTTTTGATTAAAAGATAAAGACTTGATGCATACTTTTATTAATTATTAAACTTGTATGTCACCTGTATACCACATCTCTAGAAGGAATTGTAAAAAGGCAAATTAAATATGGTAGAAGAAAAACTAAAGATGGTATTGATGTTGGACTGGATGGAAGAGAGGGGAGAGGTCTGAGTGAAGAGCCAGGATTGCCATTGCTTTCTTCTGGGATCCGATTTGTTATTATTATTAACATCATTTATTCCACTTATAAGTAAATAAATCAACGGTGACTTTCCAGGCTGGCTAACAGTGGTGGGATGGCCTAGTGGCTTCTCATCCCTTCCTAACCAGTATGGATGCTGAATAACAAAGATCACCTTCCAGAGAAAGTTGGGGCTGGGAAGCGAAGAGAGGCAGACTCCTCCAATCACAACCCAGGGAGCTAGTTTGGTGGTGTGGTTCAGGTACTGGCTGAGAAACCAGGAGAAACTCTTAGGCATGAAAGCCAGTTGGGGGCGATGAGGTGCCAGTTTCTCTGTCTTAGCCCACCACACAAGGTTGTTGTTGGAGAAAATGGGAGGCAGGAGTAGAAAGCATGCTTGGTGCCTTGAGTGATGGGAGATAGATAGATAGATAGATAGATAGATAGATAGATAGATAGATAGATAGAT